AACAATAACCTATTGACAAATTAAATAGGTTAAACCCTCAAAAGATCAGTCCAAAGTCTATGCCACCATACGTCTCTTTATAACAGAGACACATAACCCTCTCTCAAGTTTCTTGACCATAGGCCGTCAGTGTGTGCGTACCAAGCTCTTTCTCTGTCACAGAACAAATAAGTGCTATTTTATCTAGTTTAAAGGTCTACCCAATTGAACTGGCTGGCTCACAAACCTTTATAACGATAAAGGTGCTCCCCTAAACAAGGATAAAGGTAATAACTTGGAAATCTAACTATATATATCCTTATTTATACTTCTGGGTTATTACAATATTTTTGATTTTTTGTGATTTATGCTGTTATATTAGGTATATAATTTATGACTGCCAAATAAATTAAAAAAAACCACCCCTACCCACATTATACAAGAGAAAACGTACAACTCAATGCGCACTCTTTAACATGGGAATCCATCTAAAATCTTGAAATTGAGCACGCTCCTAGTTTTGCCGGCTTTAACGATTGATAAAATCACATATTTCAGTCCGTCCTAGATTGCTATTCAAATCCGCACTTTGCAATATTTTATTATTATGTTTGTAGTATGAGCACGAGAATAATATTAGAGTAAATTAAAAAGAAGATAATAGTATACGTTTTCAGCGATCGACTTTCCGTATATTCCGTATATTTTATATCCGGATTTCGAAAATATAATGTAGGATAAATATAAAATTATGATAGTCAATATCAATTTCAACTAACCCAATAGCGTTACGAGACAAACATAATCAATAAAATATTTAATTTATCTCGGGAACGAATAATTATGATTTTGGATAAGGTTGATAGTAAATTTTAAATGTTTGATAATTAGACGCTTCAACATTTATGTAATTATCACAGTAGTAAGGTAAATTTATACGTCATATGATACTTTTTATACATAATTACGCCTCATAAGATAATAATATCAATTTAAAACAACAAGAATCGAAATGTATCAAGCAGAAAGAAGATCGTCTTTGAAATGACCTATAAAAAGTAACACATTAATTTAAATGATGGATTCAGAGTTCAGTTTCACTCACTTTTACCTTAAATTGCCTTATAATTTAACGTTTCATCTATTACCTATAATACGAATTATTTGTTTCCTTGTAAAAGATTTTGAAAAATTTTTGAAAAATTTCTGAATAAGTTAAAAACAATACGAAAAGCCTTTGATGCTAATCATAATATTAAATAAATATCTACAGACTCTTGGTTCAAGTATATAGGTTAACCGTTAAATTTGTGAAAATAAAAATTAACTACTCTACCATCAAATGTTACTTAGAACATAAGATAATGATAACCAATAACTCATTCAATGAAAAGTTCACAAACATGAACACATATGATAGTGTTATAATATGCGAATTGTCTGAGACACCTACCGCAGTTATTTCTCATATCAGCCGTATACCAACTTGATATCAAATATATTTTATACTCGTGTACATAGATCTATATTACAAGAATTACTATATGATATATTCGCTAAATGAACGTTATATCATAATATTAACACAATAGCAGTACCCCGTCCAGGTGCTTTTGTATACATAATATGAATTAATCAATTAATTAAGAAAAATAATAACATTGTACCGTACTGCAGTCACAACAACTACGCGTATACGTACTTGCTACAAGTGTAGCTTCGTGTTAGCGTGTATATGTGTATGTGTTTTACGGACATATCAATAATATGACAAAAAGATACGAAAATAATAGGACATGCGCATTTACCGATGACCCAAGTCAAACATTTGCATAGACTTTTTGTGGACCTCTTGCATACGAAGAGAGGGATTGGGGGATAGGAGAGGTGATAGGCAGAGGATGACAATAGGACGGTCGGCGAAAATTAATAATTTTGCGATTTGCGGTTTAAGGGTATTTACATACTATGTAGAAAAACCGCGCCGTACTGGGTGAAATTAATTTCATACTGTTTCGATGGGAGGGCGGAGACGCGTAGGAAAAACGACAGTGTTATTTATGATCAAAACGAAATGGCATTCAGGGAGGGGGTGTAAAAAATAAAAATAAATAACACCAAAAGTCGCCACAGTAATAATAATAATAATAATAATAATAATGAGATATTAACGTACAAGAAACTTTTATCGGACTTCTTCGGTTGTATAAATTCTCTAGAATTGGTGTAATATACAAAAGTTATTTTATCATCTTTAATATTGAAACTGCGTATTGGCACTGAGTCACCAACAGCAAATTATTTTTTTATAATATACATCATATAATATATGATATATATACTTATATAAAGATATTATTCAATTATATAGTCATTCGTTCTACTCAAAAATCTCTATTCAACAACACAATGCATGTTGATGAGATCGTATTGGTGCCAAACATAATTAATTTATATATATTTTTTAATATTTATATATATATATTTATATTCTATATATTTCAAATAATACAAAAATGTTTTTGACATCAGTAACTAAACTCAATAAAATAAAATATACGACAAATTGTTTAATTACTCTAAAAATAATACATTTATATCATTAAAATCAATCGGAATAATAATTAATTGTAAGCTTTTAAAAATAATTGTTATAATTGAGAAGTTATGATTTAATAAATAATAAAGTGAAAATAACCATTATCAATTTATTTAAAATTAATATTCATAGAAAGTCCCGAGTTATAGCAACGTACATTTGAATACTATACCTTAATATTATTATTCTTAAATGTATACTTCCTAACGTAATTACATTGAAATAAAAATAAAAAAACACGCATAATAAAATTCTGCAGACGAAAACAATTTTAAATGTTTTTTTTTTTTATTTTATTTTTTTTTATTTTTTTTTTTTGAGCGTTAACTGTGCATATTATAAATTACTATAAGTAAGACCATTATGAGATACAGCCCTGAAAAATACGCTGTGAAGACGATACAGTTGTATTCCTGTGTAATAATACATTCTCCCCATCCCGAGCGAACGCACTATCGAGTCAACATTGACTACACAGAAAACTACACAGAAAAGTTAGAACATTTTTACGGTCAGATAAATCAATATGAAATAGTGATTTTCGCGTCGATATTACAATTATACATATACCGAACAACACTAACACTTTCAATACATTGACAGTTCTAAACCACATTATCGACATAAGTTTGTAAGTTACATCCATCCTTTCAACCCATGACGTCATTGACACAGCAGCGCAACATCTCCAAGAACATCTAAACCTGATTGATACCTGGTCCACTAACTGGATGATTAATATTAATGAAATTAAATCCTCTCAAGTCACCTTGGCACTTCGCCCCGGCACCTGCCTTACCATCAAGTTCAAAAACAAAAACATACCTATCTTAAATGAGACTAAATACCTTGGCATAATCCTTGATAAACGCCTAACCTGGAAACCTCATCTACAAAATAAAAGAAGACTCGCCAACAGCCGACTCCACATCTTCCGCCCACTCCTCAAATCTAAATTAAATCTGAAAACCAAAATGCCATTATACAATTCAATGATTAGACCGGTTTGGTCTTATGGCATACAGATTTGGGGGCCTTCCAAACCCTCTAACATTCGCCCTATCCAATCCTTTCAAAATATTGCACTTCACATTTTAACTGGAACCCCCTGGTACATGACCAACATTCAACTCCATAATGACCTAAAAACTAAATGTCCTTGATTTTGCCATCATCCACTACAACCGATTTCACACTAAACTCAGTTTCAGTAATAATCCCCTCATAAAAAATATGGCTAAATCCTACATTCCTGACAACCCCCCCCCCCCGTAGGCTCAAACGCAATTGTAATCGTGATCTGCTTTATAAGTAATCACCAACCCAACTAGTTCCTAGGTGTCTCCAATGGGTGACTTCCTTTTAAGTTTTGTTTAAATTGTTAAGTTTATTTCAATTCGATATGTTATTTTAGCAAAACTACTTATTGTGCTTTTTTGTACAGATTGTGTTTTATTATTAATAAAAAAAAAAAAAAAAGGTTTGTAATTTCGGGAGTAACAAGTTTTAACAATTAGATCATATAAAAAAAAAAACAATAACAATAATAATTAATGGAATTAAATGACATTAAATTGTGCAGAATCAGCTATCAATTACCAATTACATACAGGCATTCGCTTTTCCGTTCGATACGATTTTTCCATAAGAAATCTATATTTTCTTATTTTTAAGATAACAATATATTTCGATATTCAATTTAAATAATAATGAAAAACGTACGCCAAGTGAAACGTACGATTTACTAAAACAATATATAATTGAAATAAAATTTTTTGGGACATATTCGTAACGCAAAAAAATTATATAAAATGCGCATGGAAGAAGATGTAGATCAACGCGATTGACACAAACGTAGAATACTATAATTAATTTTTACGAAAAAAAAAATTGAATAATCAACGCTGCGGCGTTACGCGTAGCGGAATACCGAAAGCGATTGATACGGTTCATCTGATCGCACGCGAACCTTTAACACAAGTTGCCGTAGAAATACTTGTAGACTTGTAAATGGATTGCACGGTTCTTGTAACTTGTAAGACAATCAGAGGACGAGAATTCTCATTTCTACCACCGCGCCAAACAGCATCGACGTACACATCAGCAGTTCTGAAACCGTGTTTAGTGAACCTCTACGGTTTTCGCGAACTCGAATGAGTTGAATCGAACCTCACAAACCGCCTCAGCATCAAAAATCCTATCGCTTTTCCCTCGACCCGACTCTCCTCCTCTTATCGATCCTTCGGACGTACGTCGCCGACCATGCTATTGACCGATATCTTATTAGGACTATGCGGAGATCGGGTCGCGAGAATTTACGTTGAATCGACCGTAAAACGTGATCGGGCGTCGGCGGTGTCCGGCGCTCCGCGGGTTCCCCCTTTTATTTCAACGTCAAGCGTGCGGACATCGTAAACCTTACCTCGGCAGTTGACTACGAAGAATACACAAAACCACAACAGAGCGCTACCGGACCGCAGAAATCCGCCGGTCGCCGTGCACATGTCGCGTGCCGTGTGATCTTTCCGTCGACTGTTTTCCCTTTTAATTATTTTTATCGACTGTTCTTCCTCGGGGCGGTCTATCCCTTTTCAGTCCGGCCGCCGCACGACGAACGACGGGAACGACGACATCAACGGCGGTGGCACGGCCGTCATGCCGGGGTACGACGGGAGCGTATGGGCCCGGGTGGCGGGTGGGGGCGGGAGGGGGGGAGGGGGGGAGAGCGTGAACCGCGGAACCGGGAAAAAGACCACCGGAATTCCCGCGGGCCGAACGGACTCGCGCGCACCGCACCGGGGGTCCGGGGACGGGACACCCGCGAACAGGAAAACCGATTTCCTCTTCGCACTTCGACGACGACGCGATCGCCGGAAGACGCCGCGAAACGCGTTAAGGATACCGCACTGTCGTCCCGTAACACGCGGAGGGTTGTTTTTTTTTTTTTCTCC